GTTTCTGGCTTGCGATAGGGTGTGTTGGGAGTGGATGAATTGTCTAGTCTCTGCCGGTGTTTCGAACTGAAAACGAATAGGACAACACTTTTAATGTTGACTCTTCTTCAGCCTATAGCACTTAATCTTGGAGTTAGGCATTTTCACCTCACTAAGTAAGATGCGCTATACTTTTTTTAGTGCCTCATTGTCCGGAACGTTGTAGACAATAGCACTCAGTTTTGCGTCTAGTCGCTTTGTCACTTCTGTTGTAACAAAGTTAATGAGGTTATCTACCTTAGTTACCGATTCTGTGTCAAGCTTGTTAAGGTTTACAGTTTTCATGAGGATAGTTAGAGGTGTCAATTCACAGACCTGCGATCTGATATCGCTGATCTGATCTGATAATTTGGATATCTCAGTATTGGTTTCGATGTTTCCAGCATTTACTGACTTACTGTTTTTTATTTGCCTTAACTCAGCTTTAAGTTCACCTATAGACAACTTTAGAGGTTCTGTTTCTGAAGATAGTACTGAAAATGAGCTTGATGGCTGGAGTTTTTCGATAAGCACATAAGGTGAAGGGAGGGGTTCTGTAAAAGCAGAGGGTACTGAATTTCTCAAGTGATGCTTCTATGTTATTGTTGATGAAGTATTCTTCCCAGTCAGAACTTCTCAACAGATCTGATAGGAATTCCCAATCTGCATTCTTATAGTCCCTATATTGATAGCGCACCGGGGAATTTTTAGGTGTGTATTTAGTTGTTAGTCGGAGGGGTAGCGTGCAGTACAATATGTTGTGATCACTGTTATCGAGTTTATTTCCCACCTCTATCGAGATGGGCTCTATGTTATGACAGAGGATTAAGTCAAGAGTATTTTGGTTCCTTGTAGGGAGGCGCACGCACTGCTTCCATCCTCCTATGTCTATAGCTTGTAGTAGCTCTTCATGGATTCTTGGTCCTGTACAGGTATCCCAGTTTACTCCAGGTAAGTTGAAATCTCCACATACTACTTTGTAGTCGAAGTCCAGCGTGGCTACATGCTCTAGTATTTCTGCAATAGTTATATCAGTCATTTCAGGGCTATTGGGGGGTCTGTATATACATCCCACGAGAATTTTACTTTCGTTTGTGTGGATGCTTATCCACTTAGATTCTGGGAGTTTGTCAGTATTTGGGTTATTGAAAGTATTGGAGTTAGTGGATTTATAGGCATATATTAAGCAACCGCCTCCTCTTTTGTCAACTCTATCGTTCCTATAGATGTCGTAGTTGTCTATTACTAGCTTTGTGTCAGGTATATCAGTAGTAAGCCAGGTTTCAGTCACCATTATTAGTGTTGGCCGTTCTATGTATGCCAGGCAGCGAAGCGTTGTTATTTTATTAAGGAGAGATCTAGCATTCAGGAGCATAATTGTTAGTAAACCAGAGTTATTGGAGGAGAGGTTAACATGGTTACTTGTCACTATCCCTACGTTATGTTTGGAGGGGCTCTGAGGTGAGACAGAGTCAGTGTGTGTACTATTTCCTGGATGAACTGTGCAGCGAGTGGGGCTATTGTTTGCTGCAGCCGAAAATAATCCTGTTGCATATTTTGACTATTAGCATCCATGGGTCGGCATCTGCGTTCATCTACTGGTGATATATGGTCTGCCCTGCAATTTGGGTTGTAGTTTGCTGGACCTAGGTACCCTGAGTTAAGATTACCCTGGTAGTTGTACCTCATGGGGCTTTCATAGCCATATGCATATTGGCTCACGTCACGTTTGTGAGTGAAGTTATTGAGGGGATCAAGTGCCGACCTATTCTCATTAAGTTGATGAGGTTTAACATAGATAGTGCGAGAGTTTGGACGAGGATTTTCGTTAATATGGTGCCTATATGAGTCCCGTTTAGTGCTCCATATATCCTGAGGATCCATTCTACGTTGCATTCCCAAGTTATGTGCGTTGTTAGGCATGTTACTTCTAGTTCGGGAAGGGGTATTCCTTCTCACATGCTGCGTGACGTCTTTGGGAATGTGCTTCGTTACCCATGCTTTGTCATTTTTTAGACTGGCACGCTGCTTATTAGACTTATTACGAGGGAGGTATGTCGAAGTCTGGGGTGGGACTCTGGGTTTTGTGGTCCTTTTTGCGGTTTCTACTGAGGGACTCTCTGGCTTGGATCCAGATTGAGTGTGGTCTGCCAGTAGTTTCTGGTCAGCCATAGTTTGTGCGTCTATGTCAACCTTATGTAGGTCAGCAGGTTTTCGAGATGTGCTCTCGTGCACTCTAAGATTGCACCCAGTGGCACTGCTCTTACTGAGTTTTGGGTCGCTCTTACTTTCCATTTTTTCTCCTAACACTATACACGTGACTTGCTGTGCTTCAGTGTCCGTCGACACTTTAGCACTGATACCAGATGTATTTCTCAGTGTTGTCAACTTTGTATCGAAGGAGTTCTTGGTTGCTTGCCTTTGGTTTGGTGTTTTATCCGAGACTACTTTAATAGTCTTGAATTTAGTGGCAGTAGCCAGAAGATCTTCGGCCATCTTAAATCGTTCAGCTGTTATGTAGCTGTCGAACCTAAAGAGTATAGGACAAGGATGCTTTAGGTCTTTTTTGCTTAGGCGAATGCACTGACAAGGTGCATTCAAGAGATTTACAGCCTTCAGCAATGAGTGCTGGACTGACTTTATGGGCTCGCTATCCGGTACATTATACACTATTGCGTTTTGTTTTGAAGCCAGCCTTCTAACAACTTCGCTGGATAGAAAGTCGATGGCGTTTTCTAACTCCTTCGCACTTTCTGAGTCAGTATGAGTCATTCTAGAGGTCATATTAAAAAGCTTTAGGATTGTAGGATCCTGCAGTTCCTTTTTCATACGTGAGGTAGTTTCGGGTATACATTCTAGTGAACTTAATTTCGTTTTTAATTCATCTATCTGTAGCTGCATCTCTTTAATTACGCACGTTAAGTAAGAGAGCTCTACTTTTTCAGACAGAACATCTTCCACCTGTATTACAGGGGTCAGAGTTATGTTCGAGGCTTTTATGTTGGGTGAACTACTAATAATATGGGATGGTAATGTGTTATTAGACGAGCTGGTGCTATTTTCTGAATTAGTGGTGTTCACACGAACACGCTTTTTAGAATTTTTAGTCATCGTTATTAAAGATCAATTATTAGTAACCAATAAATGAATATAAACGAAAACACGTGCAAAAGCGTCACCTGATTCGAACGTACCGGGCGATAACAAAGGATTCTCAAGTTGGCTGTCAGTGTTCTGGTTTTCACGTTGGTTAATACAAGGCGTTTCTGAAAGCCTTCGAGGGAGAGCGTTAGGTCCAGCGTTGCAAGAGCTGGACATTGACAGTTTATGAGACTTGGCTGACAGTGGCCTTGCACATGTTTTGTACAGAATGAGCTTGGCTTCATTGTCGTGAAAGTTTCTGAGTATATATGTTTAGAGCATCCTTGACTTTCGCGTCTATGATGCCACTTGCCCACAGAAGTTTAAGTCACTAGGGTACCTTTATCCTGTGTCAACGATGCCTTGGAATTAGCAAATAGAAACGTTAATTTCATGTCGATTGAGGGTGCGCCGAATCAGGAGCAACCACATTTGTTCAGATTTCATCGCAGATTCCACATAGATAGGCAAGCAGTCACTTTATCTAATTCATTGTGCACAACATTCTAAAAGTACCCTAGGTCATCACATTGTGATGTACAAGCCATTTTAAGGTCATCTGTTAAAGTGAATAAGAGGAGGCGTATGATGCTACCCTGAACTACACCAGAATTGATTTGTCTAAGTTTAGAAACCAAAGACCCAAGCCTAGCTACTTTAGGGCCTGCTGTTAAGGAATGATTTAGACCATCTCAATAGTAGGTCACGTATTCCTAAGGAATTCAGCCCGGCCGACTTGGTCAAATGCTTCGGAAATGTCAAAGTGGGTGGTCACAAAATTGAGGAAATCTAGATGACAGGTTAAACATGATCTGGATCTTGGGAATCCATGTTGGTTAGAACTTACAGCATTACAGCTAAGCATGTGTCTGAGAATTTTATCTTTAATTAGTTTTTTCATCTACCGCGATAACCGGAGGAATCTACTATTCCATGAGCTTAGTACAGCATCTCAAGAAACCTGCCCTCTCCAGACTTGGTAGAGATGTCAGCTTGATATAAAATCTCCACTAATAATTATGCTGCGCCCATGTTTGTGTTCACAGCGTGAACTACCGAGGTGATGCGGCGAGCGAATATACCGATATACACATAGATAGTTAGGTGAGTTAACTCCCGAGCTTTTCACTGTGTTATACAAAATATTCCTAAGACCACAGTCGAGGTGTACACTCTCACTTCTACCCTGTTATTCTGGAGAGATGTTAACCATTCGCAAAGAGACCAAAGACAGGCGGCAAAAGGGCTGATGTTTCGCCGGAATAAACCATATGATGAATGGATGAAGAAATCAGGCCTTCACCTAAAACTGTATTTCACTACTTCTCGCTCCTCTTCGTCTTACTCTTGTGACCAACCTACCTAAAAATTCAATTATGTTGTCAGTACATATATAATCTGTACATATATATGCAGATTAATTTCAAATTTGACTACCTACCTGTTTGTACGTTTTAATTTTTAGGTCTACATAATGCACACTTGTACGTTATTACGATTATCTCTCTTTTCGACCATACCGGACTACTAACGGGTGAGGGGATCAAATCCATTCACCTAATCGACACGGTCTTGACACACCGCGTATTACAAACCTCATTTAATCAATCCTAGCACCACTCCTTTATAGTCAACCAAAGCGACGACGTTCAAGTGGCTGGAAGAACTACGCAAAAGTTTATCGAAGACCCAGAACCTTTACCTTACAACCAAGAAGCGAGGACAAAGAAATCGAATTGGTTTACACTTGCTAGTGATAACGACATTGGATATTGGAATTTTATGTTACGTTAGTGGGAAATATGTTTCAGGGCTGACCTTGAGATCACCTGTCCGAGTTTATGGATGTAGTCTATTCCGGTGCACATAAAGTAACTAAAAGAAGTTTAATATGCGTGGCAGAGTAAGGTCCAATTGCTGGGAACATATTCACTTATCTAGACTCGCTACCAGGAGTCAAATTGAATCGTCGTACCAAATTCAAGACGAAAATCATCCGCACGTTCAGAATTTCTTAGCTATTATCGAAAATTTATTCTACCATGGATTAAAAAGTAGGTCTTTAGAGTATCACGAGGATTAGGTGACAATACTTTGGTTGGAAGGAAGAAACTCAGACACCCATGGAATTTGATATTTCAGCTGTCTGAATTAACTAGTTGTGCTCATACTTCGGCAGTGAAACTTCTTGATCACCTTAAAACTGATTATTCAAAGGTACAAAACTTAATAAGCTCTTAATCTCCCAGTTGCGTGCGTGGATTAAGCTCTCCGTCGTCAAGTGCTGTTTGCATACAGCGATGCTCGATTTAGTTCGACAAGAGTGTAAATTAGTGTAAGTTGATGCGAGGAGTTTTTTCGTCACTTTTCCCATTGTTTATAATGAATTTTTATGATTTGCTCAGTGCATATTTGTGTTTGATTAGGAAGTGTGACCGCAAGATTCTAGTGAAAATTTGTCAATAGGACGACATCAGTTTTAGATAAAACACTTTATATCCGAGATTTTTTTGACGTCTTAAAATAAGCTGAAATAGCCTTTCTATACATTCTAAAGACTCATTAGTTTATCAGGACTTAAGGAGCTGCCTTAAGTGGTGAATTAACCGGCAACTACTACTATTACACGTCCTGTCTTAAAGTTAGGCCCTTGTGCAATCGAATTCTACGTCACCACCTTCTTTTCGATAGTACTTAAGTGCTTGTGCAAATTCTCAGACCTGCAGTCATATCCATCTAAATCTGCATTTTGTCTGCTTTAACTGAATGAATTATACTGTCTGGATACTTTTGATCACTCAAAACATTGCAAACATGATATTATATAGTTGTTGCTTATGTGATGTGAGAATTTCTCCCAGTCACTATACAGATGATCTGTAGAGAAATCATACCATGCGCAATAGATGCATTCATCCATGTGACTGTAGGCCATGGTACTTTGAGGTCTATTAATATTTCTGATATTGTTCTGAGACCTACTCTCGACTCTAACGCTAATCCTAACCTTAACCATAGACCCTAATGTAAAGGGCCATAACCCTACATAACAGTACAGATTTACTGAAAAAGTACTTAGAGAATAAATGGAATACTGTATCTACCTTCCCTAAGTCCAAGAGGACGGGCATGATTTTATTTGGAATAACATTTCATAGCGTTCCCTGTATCTGGTTGGTTCTCGAAGGTCAAATTTTGAAGGACTTTGGCTCCGGCTATCATACTTTAACTTCACCGGGGTCTTATTTAGCTTTGATATATATATATATATATATATATATATATATATATATATATATGGCCTCCTCAACGTATGTCCAACCCATCTTCCTTTTTTTCCCACAGATTTGTTCAGCAATCGGCTCTTGTTTGATTTGTTCCCAGGGTTTCTTGTTGCGAATTCTTTCTGGCCGACCGGCTACTTGATCTTCAACAAGGAGCCAGCGAAAGCAGCTGTTGATAAAAGTCCGTAACTTTTTGGAAATCCTTTCCGTGACACGCAGTGCACGTTTCTGACCCGTATAGACGGACCGACTTGACATTTGTGTTGAAAATGCGAATCTTGTTCCTGATGCTGAGTGTAGAAGATTTCCAAACTGGTTTTGGATTGGTGAAGGCGTATCTTGCTTTTCTGATTCCGACTGGCTTTGACATCTTCATCCGTTCCACCCAGTTAAGTGAAGGGGGTAACCTGTTAATTCTCTCCTGTTGATGGCGATTGGTGTAGGTTGCTTTTGTTGTTGTTGCGGTTTGTTGGTTATCTTCATCACCTCCGTCTTCTCTATGTTCACCTGCAGTTCTGTCTTCGCTGCTAGCTTCTTTAGCCAATTTGATGGTTATCGCATTTAATTGAGAACATTTATTTCCCGATACGAATTTAAAACAAGCAATAAAGGTTAATAAAGCAGGATTTAATGAATTCATCAAATTTTGGTAGAACTCTTCAGCTGAATACTCTACATACGCGGATATATATACTTTTGAAATTGCATTGGAAGATATAAGACTGATAAGTTAACAAACTACATTGAATTGATCATGCAGAAAGACAAGTGGGAATGTTTTCCTGGTCATGTTCAAATAGATAAGGGGAGAGAGAGTATGAGATAACAAAATAGGGATAAATTGCATTACGCCTCAATTACATCACTTAGATAAACAATTAGTCATTAGAGAATATGATAAAAATTGCAAACAGAGTAATATCAATATCGCATGTAAGTCTTCGAGCTTGTGTAACATTAAACATTATTCATGTGCGCAGTCCAGATCTTCTGGAGTCTTCTTACCAGTGGTTCAGCGTATTCCTACCTTCTCACTCCCTGTGCATAGTTTGACGCATAATGCAGTTCACCATAATTAAGAATATCATCGGTTATAATAGGCAGTCAGCTTGTCTTACTCATGTGTTAACTTTGAACGCCTCGCTGAGTTTCCCGTTGGGGATCACCTGACATGTGGCCGGCATTGTCATATAGCCAACTTCTGAATGAGGTTGATAAAGACTTGGACACTGCACGTTGTAGAGTTGAAGCAGTTCCTGAATTACTGCAATGAATCCCAGCTTAGAAATAGGGAGTGAAGTGATAGAGCACGTTGACCGCTTTACTTATTTGGGAAGTTGCATCAGCCCCAACGGGTTAATGGTTGACGAAATCTCAGCACGGATAAAAGGGGCTAGTTCTGCATATGCCAGTGTACGACGTCTCTCGCGTAGACGTGATATCCGGCTGTCGACCGAAAGGTGTGTGTACTGCTCGGCAGTCCACTCCGTCCTCCTTTATGTCTGTGAGTGAGACATGGTCATTGAAAGTGGAAGACATGAAAAGACACGCTGTCTTTGATCAAAGGTTCCTGCGTTCTATCTCCCGTGTGAAGTGGTATAATAGGGTGAGCAATATTGAGGTTAGTAATCGGTCGAGTGCTAGGTAGGCGGGAGGGGAAATCAGTAGACGCGCTGTGAAGTCACATCGATTGAGATGGTTAGGATATGTGTTACGTATGCTTAGCCATCGCCTTCCTCGAAAGGCGATGTTAGCTTATATAGGATCAGGTTGTTAAAGAGCTAGTAGAGGTCAAATGAAAACATGGCTTCATCAGTCAATGAAATTCACAACAGTTAGTTTAATCCACATAGGAAGATGTAGACTTCCTGACTGGTTGGGGTCCCCGAGACGGTAAAAACCGATGGCTGCAGATAATCGGTGATGTGGCTGAAAATCATTCTCAATGACAGCGCAGATGCATCCACTCCTTGTGACTTATAATTTCCAATGAAACTACATTGTTCTTCGTTATTACTATTTCTTTTAGTCTCATATCCCTATCTACTGTCTCTATTTCGCATCTCTTGTACTTTCTTCTCTTGCTTTGTGTCCTACATGGAGTGTGTCGACTTGAACTGCTGCACATCAGTGCAAAGTTCTATGTTGAAAATAGACAGACAGTTTCCAAATTACTTCTCGGTCAACGCTGTCGAAGGCCTTTTCGAAGTCGATGAATTTGAGGTAGATGTTTGACTACCAGATATAGATACTCTGTTCGATGATGATGCGTAGACCTGCTATTTGATCAGCACATGATGTACCTTTCCTGAATCCGGTTGGCGGAGTTCTGTATCCAGTGCATGCCTTAGTTTCTCCAGGATAAAACAACTTAGTATTCTACTTTGCGGGGACAAGAGCATTATTCCACACCAGTTCTTGCAGAGGCGAGTGTAAGTCGCCCTTCTTTGGTAGCTTGACAAGGTAGCCAGCCTTTCTTGCAATCAGTAGGCACTTTTCCTTCCTTCCAAACCTTCTGCAATAATGGCGTCAGCATTTCTGCCGCGGTCTATGGGTCCGCTTTCAGTGCTTCGGGAGGAATTCCGTCTTGCTTAGCTGCCTTCCCTGTCTGTCTGTCTGTTTTCGACGTAGAACTTTGCACATATGTGCGACAGTTCAAGTCGCCACACTCCATGTATCACACAAAGCAACAGAAGAAAGTACAAGAAAAGCATAATAGAGACAGTGAGCAGAGGTGTGAGACAAAGGAATAGTAGTAACGAAGAACAATGTAGTTTCATTGGAAATTATAAGTCACAAGGAGTGGATGCATCTGCGCTGTCATTGAGAACGATTTTGAGCCATGTCACCAATTGTTTCTAACCATTGGTTTTTACCGTCCCGAGGACCCCAACCAGGAAGTCTACACCTTCCTACGTGGCTTAGACTAACTGTTGTAGATTTCATTGACTGGTGCTTTTTTTGTTTGACTTCCGCTAGCTTTTTTCCAGCCTGACCCTATATCCGCTAACATTGCTCGTCGAGGAAGGCGATGACTAGGCATACGTAACACATGTCCTAACCACCTCAGTCTTTGTAACTTCACAACTTCGTCGATTGATTCCCCTTGTTTACCTAGAACTCGACCACTAACCTCAATATTGCTCAAATTATCATACCACTTCACACGGGAGATAGAACGCAGGCACCTATGATCAAAGACAGCTAATCTTTTCATGTCTTCCACTCTCAGTGGCCAGGTCTCACAGCCATAAAGGAGGAAGGAGCGGACTGATGAGCAGTACACCCGCCCTTTGGTCGATAGTCGGATATCTCGTTTACGCCAGAGACGGTGTAAACTGGCAAATGCGAAACGAGCCCCCTGTATGCGTGTTGAGATTTCGTCAACCATCAACCCGTTAGGGCTGATGGTACTTCCCAAATAAGTGAAGCGGTCAAGGTGCTCTACCACTTCACTCCCTATTTCTAATCTAGGATTTGGTGTAGTCCAGTTCTGTAACATCATCTTGCATTTGGCGGGAGCGAATCGCATGCCAAACATTCGTAGATTGCAGCTCAAGGTGTTTAGAAGACTTAGCATTTTTTCAGCGTCCTCGTCTAGAAGGATTATATCGTCTGCATATTCTAGGTCAACAAGACTATTTTTTGGTAGCAAGTCAATCCCTGAGTCGCTGAAGTGAATTAGGGTTAAGTCCATTAGTACATCTATGATGAAGTTGAATAGAAAAGGGGATAATGGGCATCCTCGACGGAAACCACTAGTCGTCACCAGTTCAGATGACAACTCGCCGTAAGCCCTCGCCTGGCTGTATGAGTACGAGTAGAGTGCCTTAATCAGTGCAATGTATTTTCTCGGCATTCCCTTTACAGCTAAGCATCTGCCAGACTTCAGTAGCTTGATCGCATTCGAGATTTCTGCTTTTGTTGGAGGGTTGGTGTCCACTGGCAGGTAGTTCTGTGCATGGTGTTGGTGGTATTCCTGGGTGAATTGTAGGTGATGGTCGACTCAAGAGTCCTTTAACGTGATCAGCCCACTGTTTTATTTATTTCT